GTACCTAAAAAAAAAAAGGCTGGAAAATGATCAGCCAAAACCAGCTATGTCTAGCTTAAACCAGCTTGGCTTGGCTGGTCAAGCTGGTTTTAGCTGGTCATCTCCCAGCCTGACCGGACCAGGCTGGAAATGGCCAAAACCCCTCTAAAGCCAGCCTGGTTGTCCAGCTAAAACCAGCCAACCAGCCTAGGCTGGTTTAAGCTGGATTTTTCAGCAGGGAGGGTCTTAACATTGAGACAATTCACTTTAAAAATGTAATGTTATTCAAATTGAATCTATTAAATAAGATAACTCCTTGAGATGAACCAGGGGGGTCCCTCAAACAAAGCACCCCTACTGAAAAAAACAGCTTAAACCAGCCTAGGCTGGTTGGCTGGTTTTAGCTGGACAACCAGGCTGGCTTTAGAGGGGTTTTGGCCATTTCCAGCCTGGTCCGGTCAGGCTGGGAGATGACCAGCTAAAACCAGCTTGACCAGCCAAGCCAAGCTGGTTTAAGCTGGACATAGCTGGTTTTGGCTGATCATTTTCCAGCCTTTTTTTTTTTAGGTACACTCAGATTTGTCTTTAAGAAAAAAAAAAACTTCAAACAAACTCTGATGCCTCACCTTGCACTCGTGTTCAGTATTTTCACTTATAAAATGCTGCATGGAATAAGAATGACCCACTAATTGTATATAAAGCTGCATTAAAATTCCCACACATCCCTACACAACAGTCTTTGGACTTGCTGCATCACAGACATCAATATTTTAACAATTTATAAAAAATTAATCACTTTCTGGCCATCAGTTATTAGGTATGGATGCATTTATTATTGCGATCGTAATAAATCGCTTTGTAAATGTTTATTATTACCATTTGATGAGTCTCCCAATACAGTTTGATGGGGATCCAGAAGCCACTTCGCGTGATGTCACACTTAACAGCGGATATGAACTCAAAAACTCAGACTCATTTTCTAAAACTATTTTTTTGTAAATGTGAAGTAACAAAGTCATGTGCAGCTGGGTTGGTATGACTTCCTCAGAAGATTCACAGGCATGTTATATACTTCAGTTCTTGTCTCACTCATGTTTCTTTATTCGGCTTTTTTATGACTCTATTGACTCGATATGACTCACTATTGTTTAATGAGGAATGTGAAAATTCATGACTGGCAGATTTTCTGCCTGAGTATCATGCACTCCAGAGTCGAACAACCAAGAGGACCTGTCACTCTCACAGAGCCGTAACCTGCAATTGCATTTGTTTAGCCCTTTAATTCAGCCATGGGTTAATTAACGTCCTACATGCTCTGACAGAACAGATGGCACGTTTTGTTTGAGGACACCATCTTGTGATTCATAGCTCTTGCACATACCGGCAAAGCAAGTTTTAAAAGAGCAACACTTCTTACACTGATCAGTACATTAGTGTCAACATTTCAAGTGGCCAAAGTTTCAGTTGTTTAAAACTATTGAATATTAAACTTGTTTGATTTATTTTAACTGTTGACTACTCTTAAGTTATACTGAAGATTAGGGGTGTAACTGATCACGGTTGATCCGTGATTCGTGTGGATTACAACCTATGGTTCAGAATTCTCCAACTTATCATCTGTTCCAGATAGGGCTGCTCGATTATGGGAAAAATCATAGTCACCCATCCGTGAATTTATTTTAATATGTAAATATTTCCCAGTTGATGTTTAACAGAGGGTTTTTTTTACAGTATTTCCTATAATATTTTTTTCTTCTGGAGGAAGCCTTATTTGTTTTGTTTCAGCTAGAATAAAAGCAGGTTTGAATATTTTGAAACCTATTTTAATAGCTCGATATTATTAGCCCCTTTAAGCAATATATATGTTTGATCATCTGCAGAAGAAACTACTGTTACACAATGACTTGTCTATTTACCCTAATTAAGCCTTTAAATGTCACTGTAAGCTGAATACTAGTAACTTGAAAAACATCTTGTAAAATATAATGTGCTGTCATCATAGCAAAGATAAAAGAAATCAGTTATTAGAAATGAGTTATTAAATCTGTTGTGTTTAAACTGTGCTTTTACTATTTTAGTGTATATTTTAGTGAATCACCTAAATATGAACTCAAATAAGTCTTACAAACTTGAAATAAAATAATCATCTTCATTGATCCTGCCACCTTAAAGCTCTCTTAACAATTTAAGTTAAAGAACTATTTTATTAAATAATTATAAAATGGTTTTATTATTATAATATAAATATATATTTTATATATAATAATATATAATATATATATTTATATAATTATAATATATATTTTATTTCCTGTCTAGCAGTTTAAAGGCTATACCTGCTCTTTCTGGGAAACTTCTACATCGCTCACTTATTTTACCTTTTGTTCTATTCAACACAATCTTTTTGGATTAAAATGCCTTTTTGAAAATGCTTTCATTATCCAAAATAATCTCATTTATTAAGACTTAATCAAAACACCTTGTTTTGCTTTTTACATTGGAAATTTTTATATCTATAGATGTACATATATGTAAACCCTTTTTTAGCATATTCAAACAAGAAGTATTAGCCTAAAGATTGGTGTTTAGCTCCTTGAATTTATGCTTATTGCTTTGTATTTAATAGACCTGTTCGTTTTTATGTTTATATTAACCTCTCATTTCCTCTTATTTCTCTCATGCATTTGTTATATATTTTATTCATAATTCTCCCTTATTGTTTAAAAAGGAACTACAGTTTGTAGAGACCGTATTCTGTTTTGTTTGTAAATGTTTTATTGTTGTTATAAATAAAAATAACAAAAAATATATGATGACGCCATGTGATCGGTCATCATGACTGCAGCAACTTTGAGTCCCGAAGTGTCCAGCTGTCCGTCTTGACGGCTCCGTTTTCAACTCCGCCCCCGCCTGCGCTCGGCTAATCTCGTTGATCACCGGCTGCAGCTGAGCTTCATGTCGAACGCATCTAAAGAGTTTTCACACGTGTACAACTGGAAAGGGGGCGGTACGTGATGGAATAATCGTTTATCTCGATTAATGTTTTATGATAATCGTTAAAAGCCAAAATCGAAATCTGATTTTCGATTAATTGCACAGCCCTAGTTCCAGATTGTATTTCCTGTAAAGACAAAGCTGACTTTTGTGGAGGATTTGATCCATTCCTAGACATGTCAGTATATTCTTTATAAATACTTTGCTTCTTATTATTTGTTCATAAGAATGCTTTGCTTTGAGTATGAATATAAACAAAAACAAACAGAATAAACCCGATCGTTTGACGCACTATTTATGTCGTATATTTAAGTGGTTCAAATTTTTACTTGCGCTGCCAAAATTTTCACTCGTCCCACAAAAAAAAAAAAAAAAAACAAGTTAATAGCTATTTCTTAGCCACATATTTTAAAAACTGGCATTGTGCAACATTGTGGCATTATGTTTCACTTTTACTGAATACATCATAATAGAATGATTAAAACACAGTCATTCTAAATGTTATAAGGTATAATAATCACCACACTACGGTGCAATTTGCAGTCTTTGCAAAGGATTAAGTTTTAAAGTTCTACCTGAGCTTGTTTTACAGGTTCACTTGGTCACTTAATGGTTCATCGATTTTACTACCCACCGACACACTATAGTAAAACATCTGTCATGAGCAGACAGCAGAGCACATACCACAGAAAGCTCGATTTTTCTTCTTTTACACATTTTTAATATCTGTGATTGATAAACTATATAATCTGCCTCAACAAGCTATGCCATTAGTGCCATTATTCCCCATCAAACATGTTATAACTTATCAAATTATTGCATGTCAGGATTAAACCTAAGCCAAAGTATCAATCATAACTCACAGCAACAAATATGATTCCATATAACTGGTAGGGGTGCATTAAAATGTGATTTGAATGGCAATAAAAATTTGAATGAATAATCACATCATGTTGCTGGTTACATAAGATTTTGTGGTTTAATAACTTTAATTTGATCATTTGTGCAGCTCTAACAATGTTTCTAAAGCTATAACGGAGATAACTGTACTGTAGTAATTACTTGCTACTTAAATACATAGCCGCAGACTTTTAGACTGAAATCTGATTTGAGACCAGTATTACAACACATTACCTTGGGAAACCTAAACAAGAGTTTTCTAGGGCTGCACGATACTAGGAAAATATGCAATATTGTTGTTGAGGAAGAAAATGATATTTTTAATTAGCATTACAACATGTTTAACAATCATAAGTGTAATAGTTACTGTACAGTCATAATAAAAATAAGCACATAATATATAGTTTTTTAATCTAATTCAATCTAATTCAGGCTAATAAAATTCTGTAAAGCTGCAATC